CAGCTCCAAGATCACCCAGAACAAAGCATATATACACACAGCGGGCTTCTATTGGCCCAGAGCCACAAAAATGTGCGCCGTCCTTCCTTCCAACACATCTGCGTTTTTGTCAGATTAATAATACACAGCCGGAAAATGACAAACAGTCTAAGTGATAAAAGATTTAAAATGTAGCTCTATGGAAGGAAATGGGTTTCATCCCTCGAATCGTAGCCCTCTGTTTTCCCTCTCTCTCTTTCCAAACGGGGCAGCGCACTTCCCGCCACCCCTCCAGGTTATGATGCAGTGAAGCTTCTCTGCGCAGAACCGACCGGACGCTCCGCGTATAAAAGCGGCTGCGCTCATACAGGCGGAGTACCACAACAAGAGAACACTCACTGCGGATCATCAACTAAAACAAAACCGCGCGCACACTACGGCAGGATGTGGTCGACGAGGAGCGGGTTCTCCTGGAGACTTTTTCTTTTCTCCTGCGTGTTTCTGGAGAGTTTATCCCAAGACTTTGTTGGACAGACACAGTTCATATGCACATCCGTGCCTAAGGATGTGGACATTTGCGCGGCCACACTACAGAACAGTGTACCGGGGGAGGACTTGAAAACGACCGTGATGCAGCTGCGGGAGACCGTGCTGCAGCAGAAGGAGACGATCATCAACCAAAAGGAGACAATACGGGAGCTGACCTCGAAGTTGGCCAGGTGCGAGAGTCAGAGCGGCGGCGTGGAGCCCGGGGACGCGCGGCCAGGGAGCAGGAGGAAGGAAGCGGGGACCAAAAACACAATGGGGGACGTCTCTAGAGGCCCCGCGGAGACTTTGACGCAGCTCTCTCAGACTTTACAGTCACTGAAGCAGAGATTAGAGAATCTAGAGGTAGGATTCTGGAGACGTGTTCAGCGCCTTAACCGTGCGCAAAGCTCAATCCTAATGATCATTTTCCATCACATAGCCTAGAAATCATTCCAACAAAACACTTTATACATTATACAGATAAAGGTTTTCTTCTAAACAACTGAATATCTTAGGATTAAACTTAATAAGGTGTCACTCTCTCACAGCAATTCAGCAGGAGCAACAACTCGGTGCAGAACAACAGCCTGAAGGACCTGCTTCAAAGTAAAATCGATGATTTGGAGAAGCAGGTGTTGTCCCGGGTAAACAGCATCGAAGAAGGAAAGCCTGGTCTCAGGAATGAGACTGAGCAGCGTGGGAGAGTAGAGTCCACACTCACCTCTCTACACCAAAGGATCACAGATCTAGAAAAAGGTAAGTGTAATGAGAGAAATATATTCTCCATACTAATTTATTAATTTTAATTTCGGGGTAGTTTAATATTTATCTCATATTCCATATATTAAATTATCTAATCTTCCTAATCTAAATCTAATTATCATGCATTTAAAAAAGACTGCAGCTGATTAAATCTTGCAGTTACAACCGAACCTCTGTACATCCTGCAGCATCCTGCTCCACTTTCAGCAGATGAAACCTTTCCAAACAGTCTGTCGCCACCATTTCCATTCTTGAATTAATACTCTGACTTATTATCTCTGTGAGACGCATATGATGCCAGGCACGCATGATTGCATGTAGAAACAACTTTTAGTTACCAACATCTCTACTCTAGTGATGGATTTATCGTGCAACGAGATTAAAGCAAATCTAGAGCTTTAGCCTCATATGTGGATATGTTGTGTAACGTGTAATTCCAAATCCTGAGGTTGTGTGCGAAGGGAGAGATATATACATGTTTATCAAGATTTATCAAATGGTGGTATGTAAAAAGAAAATAAATTACATGTGTTTTTGACACCCCTAGGTCAGAGAGAAAACAGGCCTTTGGATAAATTTCAGCTCACATTCCCTCTGAGGACCAACTACATGTATGCAAAAGTGAAGAAAAGCTTGCCTGAAATGTACGCCCTGACTGTTTGCATGTGGCTAAAGTCCAATGCATCACCTGGAGTAGGAACACCTTTCTCCTATGCAGTCCCAGGTCAGGCCAACGAGTTGGTCCTCATAGAATGGGGAAATAACCCGATGGAGATACTGATCAATGACAAGGTATGTCTAAATGGAAACACCATCACTTGCTCTCTATTGATTTAAAGATTTACTCCTTGTACTAGTGGATCATGTAGTATTATAACTAGCATTGTTTAGTTAGTTTTAATAGTATATAAAATTTGCAAATAGTTAAACAGTCTATCCTCCCATTTCTTTAATTTCATTATTTTTTTATTCTTTAATTTACGTAATACTGAGATATGCATGACTCTCTTTGAAGGTTGCAAAACTGCCTTTTCTCATCAATGACGGAAAGTGGCACCATATCTGTGTGACCTGGACTACTCGGGATGGGGTTTGGGAAGCTTACCAGGATGGTGTCAAAAGAGGGAGTGGAGAGAATCTGGCTCCGTATCATCCAATCAAACCCCAGGGATTACTAATCCTTGGCCAAGAACAGGTAAGGAAGCAGCAGTGTGGATTTATTGCCTCCCTGCTTTTCCTCTGTTGTTGTCATGGATCTAATTAAAAAGGGATTTCAATTATCTCTTTTCTTTATGCCCATAGCAACATGGTTAATATTCTATTAATAATAATATATTTATTTTCCAATGTTTATTTGTTTATGAACATGTTGCATATATCAGCACTGTACTGCAGGTCAAATCCTAAAAAGTTTATCCCTTTACAATCAATATATCAAAATTCAACTCATATTCATCCTTTTAGAGCATTAGGCAACCTGCAGCATGCATATTGCCTCTTTTTATGCATCAAAAAATGAAAAAAATATTACTTATGCTTTCATGAATAAACCAAAATCCTATTGTAATTCCTTAAATTTGCATGAATTGTAAATTATATCAAGGAAGCACATTTTTAATATTTAGTGTTCTTTAGTTCTCAGAAAAAAATCTTAATCATTCAAAATAATAATTCTTGTGCTTGAATTCTGGTGCAAAACAATTCAGAAACAAAATTCATTTAGGATACATATTTTTCTTTGAGTTTGTCATGAGATTAGCTAGATGTTCTGTACACCAAACATCTCGATCATCCTCACTAAAATGGATTTTCCTTACCACAGGACACCTATGGTGGGGGATTCGACGCCACACAAGCCTTTGTTGGGGACCTGGCCAATTTCCACATCTGGGATCGGAAGCTGTCCGTGGGGGAGATTTACAATTTAGCCACCTGCAGCAGCAAAGCTCAAGTGGGCAACGTGTTTGCATGGATGGAGACGAGCCTGGATATTTATGGCGGTGCCTCGAAATGGACATTTGAAGCTTGTCGTCAGCTCAACTGAACTGACCTGTAAACGAAGAAAACATTTGCAAATGCCATTTTTGCCACGGTGTCAGCCAACTTAAAGGATCAGGATAAGACTCTTTCAGTGAACAGCTTCTGGGATTTTTATAGGTCTTTTCAAAACTTTATTTGTGGAAGATTTGATAGGTTTTTACTAGAATCTTGTGTGGGAGGAGGTCACTGAAGAGGTCAACCTTGGCATCCTGCAGTGCTTGATTGTACATGTGGTTATATTTGGAAAAAGCTACTGATGGCACTTCTGAAAGGAAGGGGTCGCTCTGTAAGAGCAAAAAAATAACAGGCCGGGTTGAAGCGTGCTGCAGGGAAGTCATGTAGGGTTTTGAAAACTGATGTCACAGAACTTGAAGAAAACTAATGAATTCTTCAGCAGTCTTTCCTGTCTTGACTGCCAGGGATTTGCACTGTGGAAAACACGCAGGTGGACTTATTTAAAAGCAAAGCTTTGCTTTTGGAGACCATGAAAAACACAAAACTGTTTCTTGATCACTCTCCTTTCTCTAAAACCACCCCGCTTGGCGTGATTTTTGTGCAAAGACTCTGATATCTTCATTGCCAACGTAAGAGCCTGAGTGCCTTGGGTTGTTGAAGAGACATGTCAGCACATTCATTATCATTTGCAGAGTGTTTGTGTTTATTCTCCTGTAAACTGATTTTTTTTTTAAAGCAGTCTTTGTTGTAACACTTTAAAATGCAGTTGGACCAGATTGTGTGCTGTGAAATGCAATTTGTTTCGCATCTCTTTCCGGTTGAGTGGGAATGTTCCTCTGTACAGTAACAAGCATGTCTTAACTTCTGCGATGCTGCGTCATCATCTCTAATCTTTGCTTTTACTGTCCTTACCTTTGAGTTGAGCTTTTATACTGTATTGTTATAGGCTTAAAGCATGGCGACAATGACGGATGAAAAAAAAAAAGTTCTAGTTTTTGTAACAAATTGTGATACTTGAACCATAGGCAGGTGTATATATAATTATTTTTGCACATGTTGGGTATGCCGTATGAGTTGACCAAATGTGACACTGTCAAAGTTCATTTTGGCTCGCAGTTGGTGCAAAATGCTGGTCAAAATAAAGTCGTTGATGACACAAAGGTTAGAGGAGTCATTATGTTATTCATCCATTTCCATTCTTCAGACCATTTAGGTCCACTTTAGGGAAGCAGGGAGAGGAATTGAAGAAGGGGTACACTTTCTGTTTCCAGCTCTGGTTGGATGATTTCCAGATCCTCTCGAGCCAGCTGGGTGAAATAATCGAGTGCCAATTTTGAGCGAGCCAGGAATCACCTCAGCTGCTTTTCCTCACTAAACTGCTAAAAGCAGAGACCCAGGAGGTATCAATGGAGTTTTGCCATGAGTAGAATGACATACATTCCTCATAGATTTTCAAGGATTTTGAAACAAAAGTTGGCAATTAGCATTATGCAACTCATTAGAGCACGTTTCTTCTTTTGACTGCAATCCTTTTGTCACATGCATTCATTGTCCTTTCTGCCAAAGAGAGCAGTATTTTTTCCCTTCTGTTACATAAAATATGCAATTATGTTAGACCATAAAAAAAGATACATCAAGAAAGATATATTATGAGTAAACACATAAAAGTATGAATTATTCCTTAATAGAAAAAGCTATCCAAACAAACTACTGGGCAATTGTTTGGGTTTTCAACATAATCGTAATTTAACAACATGCATATCCAAATTGGCCAGACTCCATCTTTTAGTCGCATTACATTTAACAAGAGAAATACACAACATTTCCCCTTGCAGCCATTAAGGTGGCAGTAACCCCACACTGCTCCCTGGGCGCCCTATGATGGCAGCCCACTGCTCCCCAAGGGGATGGGTTAAATGCAGAGGTAAATTTCTCCCATGTGAGATCACTAAAGTTCAATTATTATTATTATTATTATTATTATTATTATTATTATTATTATTATTATTATTATTATTATTATTATAGGCACTGAACATCCAGTGAAACACAGTAGGAGACATTGTCCAGTAATAGAAAAACATGGATCAACTGGGAGCCATTGCATGACAAGCAAGACCATCAAAATACCAAAATTTAAAGAGAAACAAAACATCATCCAAGAGGTATACATGCATTAAAACCAAATCTGATTCTTTGAAAGATTCAGTTTAATGCATTGGCCTCAAGAATATCACCTGAAATGAATAGAAATGATAACAATGTGTATTTTCCAACATGAAAACCACTGTTGATCCAAAATGGCATGCAAGTATCTCTTACTTTCGGAAAGACATCTTGATGATCCCTATAGCTTTATATAGAATGAGAATTGTGATAAATACATAGATAGACAAAGCCTGGCATAAAGAATACAGCAGTATGAAATAAAAATGGCTTTACATGATGGGTTGAGCATGGAATGGAATAACTAGGGAATTAAACAGTAGTTTGTGGATTTCCTCCGATTACTCTAATGCTTTACAATAAGGAAAACCAGAAATACTAAAAACCTTTAGCATACCCAAAATGATTAGATTAGAAATAAAAGACCCTGCTGTATATTTAACAAATTCTTCAATTTTTCTAGTTTACTCCCTGCTAAAATAATAAAAAAAAAATTGTTAAATTATCAATTTTTCGGATTAACCCCTTAATAATTGAGCTCCATCAGTTTACAGATCTGATTGTTTACAGATCTATTTGCCCCCTGACTATAGGTCTGCAAGTGTGTCCTGGAGTTACTAACAGTAGAACAGGAAGTAGCTTTTTGTTAACAAAGCACCGTGAGATGACATTTGTTGTCGGAACATTTTAATTTCTTGTATTATATATTAATTTATCCTATTTACTCACTATAAACTTTTCACTCAGCCTGTTTCACTTTCAAGGCCACACCATCCTCTGCAGGATGTTGTTTGTCGACCAGACATAGCTTCTTCCCATAACAAATCAGATTCTTTCTCAAGGTTTATTCATAAGTGTCTGTAATTTGTTTTGACTCTGACTTCTTTTCCATTGTTGTAAGTAAGGGGGAACGAATGCTGCCTAGATCAGAACAGGGCAGAATGCTGTGCCATTAGGGCTGTATGTTGACTGTTCTCTGTTTGCAAAGATATTAATAAATGTGCCGACTGTGAAATCCATCGATCTACGTTTATTTAACCAGGATGAATAGTTGAATACTTTTTTTCCCATGACATCTATACAGATATATATCTATATAAATAGACAGAATTAAATTAAAGTAAAGAAACAAGTGAAATTACTGAGATCTTATCAAAAGTTTGTAGGATAAAATGGAAAATAGGACTTCACAAAGAAAAAACATTTAAGTTGACTGTTTATAAATGTGAAACACTAAACATTATGGCCACTCCATAAAGAGTGAAAAAAACCAACATATTTTTTTAACACAAATAGAGTTAAGAGGTGACGTACTCGGTAAATACAGAGAAGATAGTCAATTTTAATGGTTTCTGGTGGTGCTCAGTAAGTTTGTAATCTACCCTCATTTGTTGGGGCAGGAATTTGGCCAGGTGATAGAAGATCTATCCCAGTTGGCAGTCAGGTATCAGCTGGGTGAAGAGTAGGGGATCCTTTGTTGCTAAATAGGTTGTAAGGTCCCTCCAGCTGTCAGGACATTTGTCCCACAAATTGGTTTCCCTTTCTTCTACGTCTTCAAATCAATAAACGTTTCCCCAGACAGGAAAATCCATCTCAGCACATGGCCACCATGCTTGCTGTTGAGGCGTACATACAATAACCAACCCGGAGATGGCTTTAAATGGCTTTCCTTGGTGTTTGTAGTCTATAATTTTTTACAATCATGATGGGATAGACCAAGATACACAAATACGTATTTACATTAAGAAGTTTTGCTGAACAGTGGCAGAAGCCTCACTAATAACAAATTGCCTTTCTTTATTTCTGCTCACCTAGTCTTGTTGGATTTTATAACGCCTTTGCTAGATAAAGGTCCTTTAAAAGTCTCACTCTCAGCCTTCCGGTGTACATCTCTATTTCACTCTATCGACTCTAATTTCTTTGAATTTACATGTGGTTCTTTAAAATAGTAATTTAGAAGAAATGGTTTAACTGTTTGGTCAGCCAAATGGTTGACCATATTCTCAGTTAAATACAGGTTGAAGGTTGACAAGGAAGTTAAAGGGTTAATATGTGATTGAGATTTATATACAGTATCTGGAATCTCAGATTTAGTTAAGTATCTGCAAGATTTTAAATATATTCATCAAATATATATTTCTGTAAAGAACACTCAGTTCTTTACACTCAGTTCTAACAGATAAACATGGAAAGGAAATAGCTGTTTGAAGGAAGAAAGAACATGAAATAAAATAGGGCATCTGAGGGGCATGGAATGTTACTGCTTGCCATCCACTTTTAGTGATCTGGAGAAGCTCTCAGCTCAGAAAAGTAAACACTCTCTGCATGTTAATTCCAACGTCCCACAACACTTTCTATCCATCTACAGCAGGTTAATGAACAAAAGCCTACCCAAAATCATGACACTCTCATTGATATGATATGATATTGGATATTCACTTTGTTTAGGTGAAATTGATGAGATCCTAGCATAATTTTTAAGCATAAAAGAAATAATCTGAAAAAAGGCATCCCTAGCTATAGTGCACTTTAATGATCATTGGGAAAACTTTATTATCCAAAAAAGCTCCATTTGAGAATTTCCAGACAAAAGAAAAGTTTTTATTAAAGTCCTAAAAGTGTTCATTAAACTTAAAATAATAACATACAACATTATAATACAATCTAAATATTCATATAGAGGAAAATAATAATTAATGGTATAACTTCTAAATAAAATAATTTGCTATGTTTTTTTAAAGTGGGTATTTCCATAAACTGAATAAGTAGCAGCATTCTCTTATTCACTGCTGAATATTAAATGATTTAGGCTGACCAAAGGTATTTCTATACGATAAATGTCAAGATAGAGATTGAGTGCTTTTTGACTTTCCATAAACTCCAGAGAAGAAGTTAAACTATTTAGAATCCCAGATAATTATGCTTTGTGAGCTTTTTGACCTAAAATAAAATTAACCCTAGATAACCACAAGGAATAGATTACTGAAAAATAAAGTACTCCCAATATGATCCAAGCAAAAGTTAAGAAAAGAGGTACAGAGAGTAAACAGCCTTTATAAAAATACGTTTCCACCATTTGCATTTTCAAATTCACAACAACTACAGAGGCTAATCATCTTGTTAAGTGTACACAATACAGGAAACTTGGGAAGGATTTTACTTTCTCCACCTTTGCATTTAACTGCAGTGGAAGCAACTCTAGATAATGCCTCAAACCTATTGCTTTCTTAAAGGTATAGTTCTTTTCCAGGTGGATCATCAAAATAAGTAATCCTCCAAACTGTCAATCATTCTTGTGATATATTTACATAAGGCCGTCCTACACGTTCGTCCCCATTTTCACTTACTGGTGGTGAGTCTGACATAATGGAAAAGTTGCTAATTTTCTTTTGGAAAGTAAGCTTGTGAGCGATGCAAACAGCACTTTTAGGTGTATATGTGTGGTGAGCTTCTGTTTCAGAAAGACATTGAAGCTCGTCTTTCTCTTTTGGAAGCATGACCGATGCAAACAGCAGCTTTTAAACAGAGCGTTAGCATGAAGAAATGGGCTTGTGCATGCTCTTACATGCGTTTAATAGGCGTTCCCTCTCGGGAGCAGGTACAGGGTTGTGCATGTGTATATTATTTTTTTCTTTTTAAGTGGAGAGGGCGGGTCTTTTCATAAATTCGCGAAAATTCTCTATTATACCTTTAAGTGACACGGGGAAGAAAAGAGGTAAGGGAATATCATTGTGATCTACTTGTTTGGTTTACTTCTGGGTCAAATATTGTTATATGGTTGTAAGAGCTGTATTCACTTGCTGTAACAACAGAAGGAGATTGCCTCATATTCAAATTGCTCTGGAGGGAAGACAGAATCCCAGAGATTTTTGTTTGGAGGAAAATAATCAACAACTGAACACATAAAAAAATACAAATAAAATCACAGAGAAGATGATGTTTGTTGAGAGCAATATAAGTGAGATTAATCATCCACAGTAAACTAAATACTGTACCTCTAAATACTGGGCTAAATGGCCACTCAGGAAGGAAGAAGCCATGGCTCCAAAAGCAACATAAGAACCACAGTAAATATCCATTGGTTTTGTAGACATGCCCTGGTTTAAAGAGACTAAAATGTAAGTGTTTCAAAATAATGTTTACTACTGAAGTTGGGGGGGGCTTGATATTGTGAAACTCCTTCTCCAAATGTTGGGGCAGATTTGAAAAGTTGTGTGTGAGCAAAGCAGCCTGCAAAACTGACTCTGTTACACCAGATCATAACATTAAGGCAAGTTTCTGCTGTAGAAATGTGGATGCAGCAAGGTTTTGATGTCAATTCAAACTGATTAAAAGTTATTGAACTTCTTTTTCTTTTTTAGTCAATGTGGTAAGGATTGCAACTTACAATATTTTTTCATTAAGTATCAGATTTGTTCTAAAGCCTCTTTATTAATAGAATTCCTCTTCCTTCTTCTTAGAGCTGCTGAGAGTGGGCATCACAGACATGAGCGTTATAAAAACAGAATACATATTAGACACACATACTTGTCCTTAAATCTCAGAGCTACTTTAGCAGTAGTCGGAATAGTAGTCCTGAATGAATAATTGATTTTACTCAGCTCCAATATATACAAAAACATCCTTTCTCCAGGGGAACTGTAAAACCTGAAATAATGCTACTGATGCTTTGCTAGATAAGTAGGTACATAATTACTTCTCAAGGGGAGGGATTGTTTTGGATTGGCCTAAGACTAAAAGCTATTTCTTCTCAAGCTCTT